GATAATTCCGGTTTTTTACCTCCCAAAAATAGCCCATTGAACCCGTATAAACGGGTTCCGCCTTTTTACCTCCCCGAAGGAGACTCCGCCCTTCGGCGTAGCCTCCTTCGGGTTCCTCCCGCCCGTAGGAACAGAGTTAAACCGCAGTCGGTTCAAAGTGAACGACTGACTCCACTGACGATATTCAGTCACCCCCACGAGGGTGTCATGTGGCACAAGGCCTTTTTAACGTGGGCATTCCCGAGCCATTAGGCTCGGCCAAAATAGCCCATTTGAACCCGTATAAAACGGGTTCAGGGCCGGTTTTACTACCTCCCCGAAGGAGACTCCGCCCTTCGGCGTAGCCTCTTCGGGTTCCTCCCGCATGAGACAGAGAGTTGAACTGAACAGTCAGTTCAAAGGTGAACGACTGACTCCACTGACGATATTCAGTCACCCCCCCACGAGGGGTGTCTGCGGCACAAGGCCTTTTTTAATGGGTTCGTGGGCATTCCTCGAAGGAGAGCCATTAGGCTCGGGCAAAAATAGCCCATTTGAACCGTATAAATGGGGTTCAGGGCCCGGTTTCTCCCGAAGGAGACTCTCCTTCGGCGTAGCCTCCTTCGGGTTCCTCTCGCCCGTAGGGAAGAGAGTTTGAACAGTCAGTTCAGAGGAACGACTGACTCCACTGACAATATTCAGTCACCCCCCACGAGGGTGTCATGTGGCACAAGGCCTTTTAATGTGGGCATTCCTGAGCCATTAGGCTCGGCAAAAAATAGCCCATTTGAACCTAAAATGGGTTCAGGGCCAGTTTTACCTTCCCGAAGGAGACTCCGCCTTCGGCGTAGCTCTCCTTCGGGTTCCTCTCGCCCGTAGGAGAGAGTTGAACCGAACAGTCAGTTCAGAGGTGAACGACTGACTCCCTGACAATATTCAGTCACCCCCACGAGGGTGTCATGTGGCACAAGGCCTTTTTGGGCATTCCCGAGCCATTAGGCTCGGCAAAATAGCCCATTTGAACTCGTATAAATGGGTTCAGGGGGGCATTCCCTGAAGGAGAGCCATCGGCGTAGCCTCCCTTCGGGTTCCTCGCCCGTAGGAAGAGAGTTGAACCGAACAGTCAGTTCAAAGTGAAAACGACTCCACTGACGATATTCATCACCCCCCCACGAGGGTTCATTGGGAACCCCTTTCAGGGCCGGCCTCCCGGGCATCCGCCCTTCGGCGAGCCATTAGGCTCGGCGAAGGCAGCCCATTTGAACCCGTAAAACGGGGAGGGGCTAACAAGGCCTTTTTAACGTGGGCAATTCCCTTCCATTGAACCCCTATAAACGGGTTCCCTTCGGGTTCCTGTAGGAAGAGAGTTGAACCGAACAGCTTTTGAACGACTGACCACTGACGATATTCAGTCACCCCCCCACGAGGGTGTCATGGGCACAAGGCCTTTTAACGTGGGCATTCCCGAGCCATTAGGGCTCGGGCCCCATTGAACCCGTATAAACGGGTTCTGGGCCGGTTTAACCTCTTGAAGGAGACTCCGCCCTTCGGCGTAGCCTCATTCGGGTTCCTCCCGCCAATAGGAAGGCAGAGTTAAACCGTGCAGTCGGTTCAGAGTGATCGACTGACTCCACTGACGATATTCAGTCACCCCTACCCCCACGAGGGTGTGCGTGTTACAAGGCTTTTTAACGTGGGAATTCCTGAGCCATTAGGTCGGCCAAAAATAGTCCCATTTGAAGACGGGTTTTGGGAGTTTACCCCCGAAGGAACTCCGCCCTTCGGCGTAGCCTCCTTCGGGTTCCTCCGCCCGTAGGGAAGAGGACCGTGCAGTCGGTTCAAAAGTGAACGATCGACACGAGGGTGTCTGCACAAGGCCTTTTTAACGGGAATTCCTGAGCCATTAGGCTCTCCAAAAGGCGAACCCGTATAAACGGGTTCAGGGCCGGTTTTACCTCCCCGATGGAATAGCCCTTTAGCCTCCTTCGGGTTATTATTTATGGGTTAAAGATCCAAAAAGTGAACGAGTTGTATTCTCACCCCCCAACCATGTGGCACAAGGCCTTTTTTGACTCATTAGAATTCGGCCAAAAATTGTGAATGAATTCTTGAAACTTTATGTGGACTTTCGCCGTCGTCTTGGATATGACGATAAACCACATCCATCAGCAAAGGCCTCTGATCAGGAGCTTTTGAGGATCGTGTAAGCACCTCTTCATTGTAGTTGTCTGCAGAGTGGTAGCACCTGTTAGGGTCCCATCTAATAATGTACCCACAAACTGAGGCCAAAACATGAAAATATATAAATAAATTAGGAAAAATTACCAGCAATATATCATTAGAAAAAAATTTACCAGCAATACATTTTTGGGAAAGAAAACAATTTCTAAAGCTCACAAAAAATAAAATTTCGGCATTAAATGACTCATAAGGTGTTGAGATGCTGTTAAAAATCACCAAACCACTCGCCGTTGAACATCTATACCTCTGATCTGCAAAATTGAATCTCTTTTCACAATAA